CAGGGAGGGCTAGGAGTTGTTATAGGATTAGGAGGCCAGAATTGCTGATATAGTATAGTCTTCTATATTTTTTATATACTAATCACCATCATCATAATGATTCATAAATGCGGTGCACCGGCACTGTGCGCTGCGTGGTGCGCTGTGCGCGGACCCGAGGTGCGTGCGCATCGGCGCGCGCCGCGCATCTGGGTGCGCAGTGCGCGCTGCACATTGCGCTGCGCACGTCTGGCGTGCTGCACGATTGTGCGCAGTGTATATTTCCATGTTCTAGCGGTACATACATTTGATTTTGCTCCAGTCGTGAGGTTGGAGACTTACCTTCTCTCTCTCTCTCTCTCTCTCTCTCTCTCTCTCTCTCTCTCTCTCTCTCTCTCTCTCTCTCTCTCTCTCTCTCTTGTGCTTATTACAAGAGATAAATCAGCTTCAGGTCTGTTTTGTGTCGAATGCTTCGTATCGGGCTCGGCCCTTCGGGTCAGCTGGGGCCAGCTTTGGGTCCGCTCTGGGTCAGCTGCTTCGTGTCAGCTGCTTCAAGTCAGCTGCTTTGCCCAAAGCTCTCTCTCCCTCTCTCTCTCTCTCTCTCTCTCTCTCTCTTGCTTATTATGTTAGTTTGGATGGCATTGTCTCTGAGATGTAATGTCCTGGTACAGGGACGGCTAGGAGTTGTTGTAGGATTAGGAGGCCAGAATTGCTGGTATAGTATAGTCTATTATATTTTTTATATACTAATCACCATCATCATTAGTATGATTCATACTTGCGGTGCACCGACACTGTGCGCTGCGTGATGCGCTGTGCACGGACTCGAGGTGCATGCGCATCGGCGCGCGCCGCGCATCTGGGTGCGTAGTGCGCGCTGCACATTGCGCTGCGCACGTCTGGTGTGCTGCACGATTGTGTGCAGTGTATATTTCCATGTTCTAGCGGTAGATACATTTGATTTTGCTTATCCAATCGATGGAAGTACCAGGAGTCCAGTCGTGAGGTTGGAGACTTACCTTCTCTCTCTCTCTCTCTCTCTCTCTCTCTCTCTCTCTCTCTCTCTCTCTCTCTCTCTCTCTCTTGTGCTTATTAGAAGAGATAAATCAGCTCAAGGTCTGTTTTGTGTTAGCTGCTTCGTATCGGGTTCGGCCCTTCGGGTCAGCTGGGGCCAGCTTTGGGTCTGCTCTGGGTCAGCTGCTTCGTGTCAGCTGCTTCAAGTCAGCTGC